CTCGCAAACTTAATTAGAGTAACGGGCTTCGATGGCAACAGTTCCTCGGTCATCGGGACACCATTGCTCGGTCATAGGGTGCACGAATAAAAACAGAAAGCATAGAATACTGTCCGAGGACATATGTAGCTTGCGAGGAATCCAGCAAGGCGAGAGCGGCTGCAATGTCTTTGAGCTCCATCGCTTTCCACATGACCCCTGTCTCCGGCGGCAGTGGATTGCGTCCGTAAACCGAAAAGGCGTCTCCTCAACGCCATCCTCTCGACTTCGCTCGGAACATTTCGTGAATGGAGCGCGCACCGAACGCTGTACCGCCGATGAACATGGGGTACGCTCGCAATGTGCGTGCGAGTTTTCTCATGATAACTGCTGTTTCAGCTTGTAAAATTTTGTAACCGAATTTATCTTAATAGGGATAATTTGCAGTGGCGACTGACTCGATTTTATCATCTACAACACTTAGTTGAAGGCTCATTTCCGCCCCCGGGTGAGGCTGGAAATTGTTGAAAACGTATTTCTATTGTTGTTTTTTTTAATCGCGATCTTTTGCGCGATACCAGGGAGCCGGCAAAAGCGTCCTTGGAGTGCCGCTGGTGAGTTGTTTCCGTTAACTAAGGCGCTTTGAGGCGCTTGATAGTCGCTGCAGGGAACGTCTCGTGTGTTGCGATCTGCGTTTTCGAGCCTAGTGTGCACGTTTCTTTGAGTCATGGCATCCGCCAGTGTGGTGACGGGGGGAACAGCGGCAGCGAACGTGCCAGCTATAGAAATTGGAGGTGAGTACCCAAAATATTGCATCAAATAGTAAGATAATTCGTGACTGCTTCGAGGCTTTCTGCGGTTTGATAAAAGTACATCTGAAGCGTCTTCGTCGTTCACTCACAAGGAAATATAAGAACAGGGACACGAAGATAAAAACAGCAGAGCAAGACGATATGTAGCAGCTCCGGGCGTTTACAAAGTTAATTGAGGTTCCCGTTTCGTGTATAACTTGTTGGTTACAACTAAAAGCGGCTACGTTGAAATAGGCCCATTGCAAGCAAAAATGTATAAATGGTTCATCATTTCCAGTCATGCGGAAAGCAATGGAGCTTAGAAACATTGCAGCCGCACTAGCCTTGCCGGATTCCATGCAAGCTACATAGGTCCTCGGACAGTATTCGACGCTTTCTGTCGTTATTCGTGCACCCTATCACCCAGCAATGGTGTCCCGATGACCGGGGCACTGTCGCCATCGAAGACCATGACTCTAATTAAGTTTGGGAGTTTTAAACGTAGAAAAAAGCGCGAACGAAGTTGGGGCACTGCAGACGCCCAACACCGGCCAAGCCTCTCATCCGGGACTTCCACTCTTTCTACACAATCAGAAAGGGGGAAAGCGCCGGTAGCCCTTTCCCCTTTTCTCTCTCGCTCTCAAAATGGCGCTACCCACGATAAAACGACTGAAAAAGTGCGAGAGAGAAAAGGGGAAAGGGCTACCGGCGCTTTCCCCCTCTCTGATTGTGTAGAAAGAGTGAAAGTCCCGGATGAGAGGCTTGGCCGGTGTTGGGTGTCTGCAGTGCCCCAACTTCGTTTGCGCTTTCTTTTCTGTTTTGAACTCGCAAACTTAATTAGAGTAACGGGCTTTGATGGCAACAGTCCCCCGGTCATCGGGACACCAATGCTCGGTCATAGGGTGCACGAATAACGACAGAAAGCGTCGAATACTGTCCGAGGACCTATGTAGCTTGCAATAAATCCGGTCTTGGCGGCAGTGGGTTGCGTTCGTAAACCGAAAAGACATTTCCTCAACACCATCTTCTCGACTGTGCTCGGAACGGCTTGTGAATGGAGCGCGCACCGAACGCTGTACCACCGATGAACATGGGGTACGCTCGCAAGGTGCGTGCCAGTTTTCTCGTTATAATTGCTGTTTCAGCATGTAAAATTTTGTAACTGAATTTATCTTAATATTGATAATTTGCAGTGGTGACTGACTCGAGTTCATCATTTACAACACTTAGTTGAAAGCTTATTTCCGCCGCCGGGTGAGGCTAGAAATTGTTGAAAAGGTAGTTCTATCGGTTTTCCTGAATAGCGATCCCCTGTGCGACACCAGAGAGCCGGCAAAAGCGCTCCTATGGAGTGCTGCTGGTGGGTTTTTTGGGTTGTTTCCGTTGATTGGGCGCTTTGAAGCGCTGGATAGTCGCTCCAGGGTACGACTCATGTGTTGCGATCTGCGTCTTCGAGCCCAGTGTGTACGTTTCTTTGTTCGAGTCATGGCATCCGCCAGTGCGGCAACGGGGGGAACAGCGGCAGCTAACGTGTCAGTGATAGAAATTGGAGGTTAGTACTCAAAATATTGCATCAAATAGTAAAATAATTCGTGGCTGCTTTGACGCTTTCTGTGGTTCGATATAAGCACATCTAGAACGTCTTCGTCGTTCATCCACAATGAAATATGAGAACACGGACACGCAAGATAAAAGCAGCGCAGCAAAACGATATGTAGCAGGGTGTTTATAAAAGTTAATTGAGGTTCCCGTTTCGTGTATCGCTTGTTTATTACTAAAAACGGCTGCGTTGAAATGGGCCTATTGCAAGCAAAAATTTATGAATGGTTTATCATTTCCAGTCACACGGAAAGCGGTGGAGCTTCAAAACATTGCAGCCGCACGTGCCTTGCCGAATCCCATGCAAGCTACGAGGTCCTTGGGCGGTATTCGACACTTTCTGTCGTTATTCGTGCACCCTATGACCGAGCAATGGTGTCCCAATGACCGGGGAACTGTTGCCATCGAAGCCCGTGGCTCTAATTAAGTTTGCGAGTCTAAAACAGAAAAGAAAGCGCGAAAGAAGTTGGGGCACAGCAGACACCCAACACCGGCCAAGCCTCTCATCCGGGACTTTTACTCTTTCTACACAATCAGAAAGGGGGAAAGCGCCGGTAGCCCTTTCCCCTTTTCTCTCTCGCTCTCAAAATGGCGCTACCCACGATAAAACGGTCTATTGGCTCTCTCCTTCCCCCCCCCCCCCCCCAACCTCTATTACAACGCATCTCTCTCTCTCTCTTTGGCTCCCCAGTCTCGACAAGGAGGTAGCGCCATCTATCAATACGTGCGCCAAACGCGCCCCAACGCTCGACTCAGCCATCTGCGTCGCCGCCTGCCGTTGGCCCTGGCAGGTTTTTTAGGCCTTATTCTTTACAGAAAGGGAGTTACGCTTTGTAATTTTAAAAGAAAAAAAAAAACAAAAAGAAAAAACATGTGAAATACACTATTGACGAAAAATTTTGATTGCTACGTGCAGGCGCCGATTTTAGGGTCCATTTTAGATCGAGCCTGGTTATTTCAGTCACCCTAATATATCACGTCGCCGGTATCACCTTTAGGGGTGAACTGCGAATCTTACCGTGCGACCAGGAAAGTGTGAAGGCGACGAGGAAAACGATGGCGAAACCAAAGCCCGTGAGATGATTACAAAAAGTCAAAGGCGATTATTTCCTCCATGAACATATGTACAAAGTACACTAAGTAGTACAAAGTTCACACTCTTGCAACCGAGTACGACCGAGAGAAACGAGGCCTGTTGAAACCGTTTAAAACTTTCTTAGGACGAGGAAACACACTTATATTCTGGCGCCATCTATGCGGTGACCCTGGAACAGCATTTCACAAGAGCGCAAGGGTTTACGGGATTTCCGAGGTCAAATGTGCGTAATACCTCTACGCAGGCACGTAGCCAGCGGGGTGGCCCATGGGGCCCGCCCCCCCCCCCCTTTCCCCCCCTGAAATCTTCCATTGTGCTGGAACTCCTCTCCCCCCTCCCCCTCATACAACATTTTGTCATGGGCGGCCCCCCCCCCCCCCCCCCCCCCCCCCCGAAAGAAAATCCTCGCTACGTGCCTGCCTCTAAGAAAGGCTCGTTTATAACGTTGTCAAACGTTTTTCGAGCCAAGAAAAAAAAGGATAATGCGCGAGAGAAATAGAAAATATGCCGGACCGGGCCAAGTTTACACTGCTACCCAATAAATGGCGCCAGTGTTTCCTCTCGTTTTAAAGGGTTTCAAGGCGCCCGGTTCTAAGAGGTCGCAAAAGTGTGAACGGGGCCATAAGCCTGTTCACACACTTGCGACTTTTTAGAACCGGAGAGGATGCCGACCTGTTCTTGATCCTTTCGTGAAGGCTTTCGACCGGCCCCGCAGCAGCGCAGCCGGTCATAAGCCGTTGCAAGAGGCTCAAAAACCGGTTGTGTCGAAGTCGGTCGCAGACAAACGCAAGTGCTTGAACGGGCCGTAAGGCCCGTTCACACTCTTGCAACCGAGTACGACCGAGAGAGACCAGACCGGTTTTTAAGCCTCTTGCGATCTCTTAGGACCAGCTCCGCTGCCGCACATCCGGTCCTAAGACGTCACAAAAGGCTTAAAAACCGATGTGGTCTCTCTCGGTCGTACTCGGTTGCAAGAGTGTGAACGAGCCTTTACAACTTGAACTTAAAATCTGCTACGTCATTTATGTTTAGCGAGGAAAATCTCCCATTTTGCCAAAGGAAAGAAAAAGAAGGTAGTTAGGTACAGTTAAGAGCTGCATAAAGCTCTGTAAACCTTTTGCGTCCACAACCCCATGACTGATGCACGTGAAGACGCAGACTAACAAAGTTCGTAGATCTAATTAGATGCATTGGAAGCTAATTTCTGTGATGAAAACAAATTACACAATGTGTCTCGTTTGTGTGTCTTGTGTCCAGCACTGTTCCCAGCCCGAGATAAGTTTTTGGACAAATACCATGGGCTCGTTTTTCTTTTTTTTGTATAGTTAAAAATTTTAACAACAGAGGAAGCTTGCTTTTCTGATTAATAGAACATTATTATTTCCATATTTATATGACACAGGCAAGCACGTTTTAGCAATCAAAATTTCATTACAGATACTAATTTTGTGAAGATACCGTGTTTGCATGGCGACGAAGGAATATCCCGAATAAAGATGGGCGTGGTAACAGCTAGGATTTATTCAAACACGTAATTAAGATTAGTAGAACAGTATGCATTTTTATTTAGGTCGCACACAATATACACATTCTCGATTTTGTTTTCTTTTTGGGAACATTCATGATGGCACGTAGACTATTCACTTGGCTGGCGAAAGCTTCCGAGACAGAGCAACGAACCGAAACGGACAACGCGGTTACCATGGCAGACACGGAGCTCGGCTCTACAAGTATTGCACCGACGTCGTCACGGGGCTTCCACTTCGTTTCTTTTTATTTGTTTACGCAGTCACCAAACAAAATCATGGGTTTTAGGAGGGCGTCACTGGTATTGCATCACTTCCCCGAGACAAGAAACAGCAGCAATGCAAAATAAGTCCCTGAAGAAGGCTCCTGCGTCCTGACCCTTCACTTGTAAGCACAAATACCGCGAGATCGGGAACAAACCACACCGAAATCAAAAACAACAAAAAGACGACCAAGCAACCCACTCCGAAATTAAGATGGCACACATAAAACAGTTGTATACAAAAAAACAAAAAAACAAAATAAAAAAAGCTGCTGGTGACGCACGACAATGGCCGTCAGCCAATCAGCGATAGTTACCTGCCCTACGTCACGCGCAACATGACACTCTACAGCGCCGACCGTCTTCCTTACACTGCATACGACTGGCACTCCCAGAGCCATTTACGCGCGCAGTTAGGTCGATGGCCGGGGCTCATGCCCACAAATTCAACTGAGTTAGCAATAACACAAAACGGCGTCACATGCACGTCAAGAACACAGAATGACCGAACATGCAGCTTTATTTCCTGGCTGTCAGATGATATTTTGTGGTCACTCAGAATGCCATATCCTCACAGCATAAACGGCCCTGGTCCCCCCGTGCTGGCTTGCAACGGTCTCGAGACACTGCCAATGACCTGGCGCCGCCACGAAACGACGTACTGAGACAAAACAACATGAGCGTGTAGTATGTTCTCTTCCACGACAACGACACGAGACGTTCAACCGCCCTATACTCTGCAATAGAATAATAATATATCAATCACCCGCAATGAGACGTCGCGGCGGGATCAACAACCGCCCCCTCCCACGATAAAATGCGATAAACGGTGAACGAAAGACAGCGAAACTTGAACACCCATTTGAGGCACGCGACCGCGTCAACGATACGTCATCGGAGGATTCTACCCTTCCGCCCGGTGGACTCCGGCCGGCTCGGCGAGAACCAGCCAAGGCTGCAGCGGGTGTCGTCATCCCAGGGACGAGCTGAGCCCGTCTCCTCTTGCCGAATCAGTGGTTCAGCAAGAAGTCGGAAACGCACGACGTCGAACACAACGCGGGAGTGCTGCGCTTGAAGAACACCTGGCGGCGCAGGAGGTAGTCGAGGACTAGCCGCGCCAGCTGCGGGTTAGCCACGCCCAGGCCTTCGTCGCAGTCGTCCGAGCTGAGGCCGAAGAAGGAGCCCTGCGGTGGGGGAGAGGGGGTGTGGTTGAAACAAATGGATGTACCAATTGATTGATTGATTGAAACGAGTATGGACCAATATGAACCAACGCGCGCCTCTGATACGTCGCAGCGGCGGCGCTGCTGACGGATCGGCGCAGACGCCTCATCTCTCGCAGAAATGGTTTCTGCGCATGCGCGGTGCCCACATATTGATGTGGGCAAACGCGTGCTTGTTTGTAAACATAAAGTAAAAAGAAGGTAGCTGGTTAGGTGATGTGCCGTAATGGAGTGAAATCTAGGGTACATTTTTAATCTCTCATGGGTGCGTCAAACCGATGACGCTTTAAATTGCGCACCCCACAGTTCGTTGCAATGGATTCCCCTCTATCCAAACGTGCTCGGTCTCTCTATGACGTTGAGTGAGGGATAGTTCCCGTTTTGTATTGGTGAGCACCGCAACAAGAGCACCAGCCGAATGTGGCATGTCTTTTTGGTCCTTAAACAACCTAGGTGGACGATACTATATTAGGGCCAGCTGAGCTTAGGAAAATATTTTCCTAAGTTCAGCTGGCCCTATTATAGTATTATGCACTAACAAGCTCTACTAAAGCCCGTTAGTAGGTGGACGAGTGCGGGCGAACTTACGCATGTGTAGCACACTTGATGCCAGCTGCAGGCAGACAGAACTTCCGTTTCCAGAGAGGCGTCGAAGGCAGTCAGATCCTCGAGGGGCGCGCATCCGCTGCTGAGCACTTGCAGAGCGGGACAGCCTAAAAGACAACCGCAGCAGAACGAAAACAATGAAATAAAGTTTAGAGGCGAAGTCGGTCCTCTGAATTCAAAAAATGCGCTATTTTAACCCTTGGTAAAATGATGCTAAAATTAATTGAAAGGCTAGAAAACGTTTTCTCAACAAAAATGTATATTTAAATGCTCGTTGAAATCGTGCAAGACCCGGAGGCATTTTTTTAGACTGATTCAGTAGTATCGTAGTAAAAATATTCAGTTAGAAGTTTAGAATTGCCAATATATATATATACATATATATATATATATATATATATATATATATATATATATATATATATATATATATATATATATATATATATATATATATATATATATATATATATATATATTACGGGCTAAGACAGGCCAGGGAGACGTAGGGTGCATCAATGACCTTCTGTTTAGAGTGATGCCACCCTTTGTAGTACCCGATGCCGACAGCACGCGCTCACGGGGAAAATACAAAGAAATCGACGAGAACAAAATGTCGCCATAGCACAGTCACCGCCACAGACGCGTGCAGGGACACGCTCTTTCACGCGCTTCTGAACAAGAAATAAATGTAAAAGTGAGAACAAAATGGCCAGATGTCTCCACCCTAAGCAAAGCGAACATGAAGGCACCCTAGGGAGACGTAGATAGTGGAGAAGAAACATATCCATCATGGGAAACAGCGCGAAAAACAGACGAGGACGAAGAACAGACGCGGACGAGGACAGCGCTCGCCCCGTATGTTTCGTCTTCGTCCTCGTCTGTTTTTCGCGCTGTTTCGCATGATGAATTCCCACCAACTCGCCCGACTATCGATTCTTCTAAGAGAAAATTATCCACGAACAGGCATAATTAAATAATATAATAAGCCCAACGTATCGAGCGGGGACCGCTCTTTGTCAGGGTGATTAACCTTTTCTTTTTCTCTTTAGGATTGATCCCGTCGTGTTTCATAGACTTGCGGTCATTACAGAAAAAATTTCCTGGCGCGTTTTCACTTCCATCACCAAAATACTAAGAACAAAAAATTCATGAATAAAAATATATTAAAAAATAATATAAATGTCTAGCGGGTTTATGCTGCTTGTTGTAGCTAAGTAAGTCTGCCCGGACTTTCATTAATCCCGTGGCTAAATACTTTAAGTCTGTGAATAAAATACGTCTCTCTTAGTTCTGCGATAGGAACTAAATCCACATTGAGGAAACACGACTGTTATTGCGTCAAAAATGTGGTTTATGGTTCATGTGTTTGGAAAATGGGAGGTATGAGAGGGAGTTGACGTGTGATTTGCGATTGTTCAAACGCAGTCTGAAAGGGGTTCTGGTTTGGCCTATGTAGTCCATATCGCACAGGCAGCATCGTAACACGTAAATGATGTTTGCCGTATCGCAGTTGAGAGTTGCATTAATTTTGAACGAGAAATCTGATTTGCAGCTCTTTATTTGGTTGGTGCGTATCATGTGGTCGCAAACCTCGCATCGCGACTTTCCGCAAGGCTGGCAACCAAAAGTTTTTGAAGGTGAGCTTTTGGATTGTACCAAGATGTCCTTGAGGTTCCTGCCTCGTCGTTAGACTACTTGTGGTGGCTCTGGAAACAAGGAGTTAAGTTTGTCGTTCTGCTGTAAGATCCTAACATAGCCTCCTCTATACGGAGAAAGCCTGGCACATCGACGACGGAGCCATAGAGAGCGGGGCCGCAGGAAAAAGGAGAGGAGGAGCGCGCCGAACGGTGACCAATATGGTAGCGCAGAGCAGAAAGGGCAGACCTAGACAGCGAGCGCTTGGGTCGTGAGCGGCCGCTCCCCGAACCACGCTTGTTTTTCTGTTTTCGTCACCGTCGTTTTCGCACTCCGGGAGAAACGGGCGCGGCGATTCGAAAGGGCGCAGGGAGAAACGGGAAAGGGTGGACGTTGAGTTTCTCCTCTCCACGATAGCGACAAGAAAAGAGAAAAAAAAAAAAAAGTTTGTTTCTGCGTTTGGCCGCTCGCTCCTTTTGTGGCGCTAGCCGTGAAGGTTCTCTCCGCTCCCGTTTCTCCGCCCCTCCTTTCCCATTTACGGCGGCCGTCTTTTCACGCGACGCGCCAGGCTTATGATCCTAAATTGTTTCCTTAAAATATTATTGAAATTTGGGAGGTTGGCTGAAGAAGAAACTACAAGGTTGGTTTGTTGATTCCTAGGTACACTGGGGTCGAGGGATCGAGTCTGATTAATAAGTTGTGATCTGTCAAGTGCTCGGGCTTTTTCGACGGCCTTGTAAACAATTGTAATTTAATATTTTTTTGTGTTTTTAGATTTTTTGCGTTACAATCAAAATGAATCAATTTGGAACAAATTCTTCTGAACCTATGAGCTTGAGAGAACGGAATGCTGATTTTACAATGCTGAGTGTGTGAACTGTGAAGGTGCAGATACTTTTTGAGGTCTGTGGGCTTTCTGTGGAGTTTCGTTGAGAGGCTATTTTCATGAATTTCCATTGTTACGTCCAAAAACTTTATGTTAGTTTTAGAACAGGAGTGCGAGAATTTTATATTAGAATGAACTGCGTTAAAATCATATTAAATTTTAAAGTGTCTTCCTTTTTTGTGGCCGAATTATAAAGATATCGTCAATGTATCGTTTATAACACAGTAGTTTTAATTCACGGTTAGAGAGAAAGCGGTACTCTAGTTGGGGCCTAAAAACATCGGCATAGTTTGGGGACATCTTCGTGCCCATTGCTGTGCCCTGTATCTGAAGAAAGTGCTTCCCTTCAAACTCGAAGTTGTTATGTTCTAGTGCCAACCTAATTAGTGTTGCAAGGACGCGATCGTTCACCCCCATTTTTGGTGGACTTTTCTTATAAGCAATGACTACAGCATCGGTACCGTCCTGGTGAGGAATGGTTGTATAGCGAAGAAGAAAATTCCATCAAAAATGGTGTAAACAATCACGTCCTTGCAATACTAATTAGATTGGCTCTAGAACATTACAACCTCGAGTTTGATGGGGAAGCACTTTCTTCAGATACAGGGCACAGCAATGGGCACAGAGATGGCCCCAAGTTATGCCAATCTTTTCATGGCCGATCTATACTACCGCCTTCCCACTAAGCGTGAATTAAAACCATAGTGTCATAAACGATACATTGACGTTTTTTTTTAATTTGGCCACACAAAGAGGAAAACAATTTAAAATTTATCAGTGATTTTAACGCCGTTCATCCTAATACAAAATTCTCGCAATCCTACTCTAAAACTAACATAGATTTTTTGGACGCACCAACTAAAATTCATGGAAATAACCTTTCAACGAAATTCTACAGAAAGCCCACAGACCGCCGACAGTATGTTCACTTTCACAGTTCACACCCTAACCATTGCTAAACCAGCATTCAGTTTTCCTAAGCTCCTAGGCTCAAAAGAATTTGTTCCAATTTAACTGATTTAGGCATTAACCCAGAAAATCTAAAAACAGTGATCACCGAACAAAAATATCCCTTTACAATTGTTGACAAGGCCATCGAAAAAGCCCGGGCACTTGATAGATTACAAATTATTAATCAGACTCCACCCAGTGTCACTAAGAATCAACAAACCAACCTTGTGGTTAGTTATTCGGCCAGCGTTCCGAATTTCAATATTATTCCAAAGAAACACTTTAACACCTAAGAGCAGAACGACAAACTTAACACCTTGTTTCCAGAGCCACCACGAGTAGTCTAACGACGAGACAGGAACCTCAAGGACATCTTGGCACAATCCAAAAGTTCACCTTCAAAAACTTTGGTTGCCAGCCTTGCGGAAAGTTAGGATGCCATGCTTGCGACCACATGATCCGCACCAACCAAATTAAGAGCACCAAATCAAATTTTTCTTTCAAAATGAATGCAACTCTCAACTGCAATACGGTAAACGTCACTTACGTGTTACGATTCAACCTGGGCGATATGGACTGCATAGGCCAAACCAGAACCCCTTTCAGACTACGATTGAACAATCACAAATCACACGTCAACTGCCTCCCACACCTCCCATTTTCAAGACACATGAACCTACCGGACCACATTTCTGATGCAATAACAGTCATGCTTCTTCAATCAGGATTCAGTTCCGATCGCAAAAGAGAACTAAGAGAGCATTTTATTCACAAGTTCAAATCACTTACCCAAGGGATTAATGAAAGTACGGACATAATTACCTGGCTAGAACAAGCAGGATAAAACCACTAACCATTTATATATATTTTTTATTTATTATTATTTTGTTTTTAGTGTTTTGGTGATGGAAGTGAAAACGCGCCAAGGGCAATTTTCCTGCAGTGGCAGTAAGACTATAAAAGACGACGGGATCAATCCTAGAGAAACAAAGAAATTATTCATTCTGACGAAGACCGGTCCCCGCTCGATACGTTGGACTTATTATATTGCTTTATTATGCCTTTTCGTGTATCATTTTCTTCTCTCTCTCTCTCTCTATATATATATATATATATATATATATATACATATATATATATATATATATATATATGAACGAATATGTGCAGATGAATGAACCGTACTTAATCCAATGAATCAAAGAATCAAAGTTTCCAGGAACCCGCCGAAAGCCAAAAATTGGCGGAGCCAGGATTTGAACTCTGGGCCTCCCAATGTCCGGTCGGGTGTGCTAACCACTACACCACTCCACCTTGGCTTTCTGGCGTTTCCTACCTGTCTTATTAATGCACAAGAAACGAAATGTATCCAATCGGAGGCGTTCTGGAAACACACGCCGCCGCGTGGAACGCGGTACGACGCTTAGTGTCACGTGGTACGTGCTCGTTTGTGCTCCAGAAATCCTCCCACTGTTTGTCTCGCCCCGTGTACATGTAATATTCTTTGTTTATGAGCTTTAGAGACACGGTATCATCATCATCTGCAAGAATCAAGAGCCACGTTATTGAGTATACAACACGGGCACTTCACGTCATCGTACGTGGTCTCCGAGGAGGATATGAACGAATATG